AATATGTTTCATTAAGAAAGTCTAAACTATTACAGCAAACATATAAAAACATTTAATATATAATGTGTTTCATTAAAAAAGCCTAAACTATTACAGCAAGCAAGCAAATAAACCCTAATAAACTATTACAACAAGATTAAAAACATTCTCTTCTCTGTCTTTCTCCTTCTCTCACTCTATCTTGTTTTGTTTGCTCTGTTTCCATTAATTTAAAGACAAATTTAAATGAGTGAATGCGATTCTATTCTACACAATATCTATTACTTTGTCAGCAACTAGAAGTGCGGGAAAGAGCAGCTTCAGTTCGCAAAATAGTTTGGATGGAATGCGGCGTGGAGAGAACGAGCTGCGGTGTGGAGAGGATCGGAAAAGCTGGCGCTCGATTGGAATGATTCCCGCGCAAAAGACAATGTCGGGAGAAAAACGTAACAGAGGGGTAACGGGAGTGGTAATTTCGATTACCTAATAGTGTTTTGGGTGGCTAAATAGTAAATACCAAAGTTTAGGTGTTATATAAGTAAATAGGTAAGTTTTAAGTGTTATGTATGTAAAAACCCCAATTAAATAATATTTAAATAATTAATAAATTTTATTAATTATTTTAAAATAGCTAAGTATTTAACTAATAATTTTATTAATTATTTAATTAGTTTCACTTGTTTCTAATAATAACTAGTAGGAGCCTAGGTTTAGCCTTTCCCTACTTTGTTTCATCTGGCTTCGTTCCTGAGTGTAGTTTTGCACGAGTTCTTCTTCGTCGCTGTTCGACTTCGCTCCTTCAACGACGTTCCCTTCCTGTTGGATCAGAAGTTACGACATTTTTTTATCGGAAGCAACAACGGGAGCTCGCTTGTTGTGAAGAAGGTAACTCTACCTTTCGCACGCTCTCGCGCTTTTACGGCCAAATCCCGTAAATCCGCTGAACCAAAGGATTTCGGAAATCCAAGATTTACCACGAAAAGAGGGAATTTTCAGTCAACCGCGGCTTTGATTTACCGTGAGATTTGGTTTTGCATTTTTTGCCATTTGGCTGGATTTAGCTCAAATCTGCTTCAAATCCGGTCTAAATCCTGCATCCAAACAGCCCCTAAATCACCATCATCATCAACCTCACAAATTCTTATTCAAAAGACACTATATCACACAACTTAATGTACATAATGGCACAAATCCTGATAAATGGGTCCTCCTATGCCCTAACTCTATTGTATAGTGGAGAAAGAGGCATGATTGCAATGAATTCAACAATATTTTATCATTCATCATATCCTAACAAAATTTCCATGATTTGAATACATCCAATCAAAGCTTGAGATGAAGGGCTTCCACGTAAAGTAACACTAAAATTTGAAAAAATCATCTTGGGAGCTTGAATACTCAGGAGTTACAGAAGAACTTTGGTTCTATAGATTATTATGCATAAATACTTAAAAGTAGTAGCAACTGCAGTGGTTTAGAAGCTCTAGGCCATAGCTACGTTGTCATACCATCACCATAAGAAACAAAATTTTACTAAGGAAACTCGGTGATGGTTAACATCCACCATCAAACCGACAATTCATGCTGCGCAGGGCACTAATCTTAATATAAGCATACAATTAGAATCTAATTGCTTTTGTTTGTCAAGTTGAAGCAAATTACAGGATTTCTATCTATAGGCTCAGAAAAACTTTTGCCTTCAAGAAAGAGATTTAAAAAATTCTTTTCCAAGCAAAATATAAAATGAAGATAATGGGCCCCTGAATTTCACCAAAATACCTCAAAATTCATATCATGTTTCTCATTGTAAAACCAAACCATCTTTTTTTTAACTAGTAAATTCGGTAAAGTAAACCTACATGTGTATAATCCTGCTCATATATATATAGAGAGAGAGATAGAGAGAGAGAGAGAGAGAGAGAGAGAGAGAGGATACCCAAAGAAAATTTGTCTCAAAATAGAAATAAGCACATTTTTCCATTGTTTTTGCGCAGCACTTCAAGCTATAGAGGCCCAAGAAACCTTTGAAATTTATCATAGAGAATGAAACAAATCTTTCTCTCTACCCTCTCAAGTCAAGCACTAAGTAAAAAAACAAGGAAGCACCAGTTGTTTGAAAAAAATTCCAGTCCTTCTTAATGCCTCATCAAAGGCAGATTTTCACGCCAAAAACCACTGACATGTCAGAAAAAAAAGAGCATTGATCATTCATATTTGGTAATTTACCATAACAAAACTTTGTGCAATATCCTGAATACCTTGTTCCACAGCAACTCTTGCTCAAATATACATCTACAATAGCCTTAGAAAGGAATATTATTGGAACTTCAAAGAATACAATGTCTAATTGAGGATTTAAAATGAAGAAAAGAATAAAATCTGGCCATATGGGGTAGGCAATCGTATAGGCAATCGTATGGACTTCATGACTAGCATGAAAACTACTGTACTGTTATGCCACCGGTCAGTAAAGAACGCTATATTGAAGCCTACCCATAGATCCAATAACCCAATCAACAGCAAGATGGTGAACAAACAATGTCACCGGCATCACATTGAAATCCATAAAAAATATAAAAAGGCATAGCAAAATAATGGGAATTAAAAGAGAAGCATAAAAGATTTCGTTTGAGTAGATCTAAAGCTGAATACACGGAGTATAATTTTAATAGAAATTTATCTAGCGGATTATTGTGACTTTGCACAATCACGTTATTAAGAAGAGGGCGCGTTTAGATATCTCATGTCTATTGTTCAAAGTGATGATGAAATAGAAGGGGATATTATTAGTAGAATTCAAGTTGTATGGTTGAAGTGGATGAATGAATCGGGCTTGTTGTATGAAAGAAAGGTATCCCTCAAATTTAAGGGGAAAAATCCTATAAGATGGTGGTGAGACCTACAATGCTTTATAGCGCAAAATAAAGGACATTAAAAGAGAAGCATAAAAGAAGAATGAGAAAATATTGAAAATCATAAAATAGGATAAGTGTTGCAGTCTTCAATGAACAACCATACATAATCCCCTTAGTAGTTGCCATTGTGATTTCCTTAGGAGCTTTAAAACCATCCAAACATGCTCAATCATTACCATAGGAAACCTAGAGATATTCCATAGCAACCATATACAACAAATGGCTAAATTTTGAATCATGATTATCATCTCCCGCACAAATTCGAACTAGAAAGAGACATCAACGGCACACTATTGCACGTTATGCGTATAGCATTAATCATGATAATTGGCACATGATTAAGCCCTCCAAACATTATTTCATGGTAGATGAACCTAATGATAGAACATCATTTTGAAATAATTGCATAAAATAAGTGAGATAAACCTAATGATAGAACATCACTCCTTAGAGCGACAAAACTCCATTTGGAAATAAATTCTATAAGTGATTCCATAAAAGAGGACATGATGGATGACCAAATCATGCTCATACAAGTCCAATTTCAAATATTATGATAAAGAGAAATTCATTCCACACATAACACCTTTATAATGAGAAACATGACAACACAGCAGCACAAAATTTCTTGGCATTGCTCCTTAGTTTTGCTTTGACAAATTCTATAAGAGGTCGGTAATCATCAAAATCATCATTAGCATTTAGCCTTCATCATCATGAGAATGGTGTGAAAAACTATTAGTCATAAAAAATGCTTCTCCCACCGCTTCATATAAATCATGACAATTATCTTCATAAAAATGATAACTTTAATTTTTCATCTCACACCGCATCACAGATATCATGTTAATGAACATGATTGAAATCTTAAATTCATTTTAGCCTATTTAATGCATCAAAATATAACCATTTCATTGGTGGAACTTCAGAGAAAGCATATATTCTAACTTCAAGCAACCAAATCAGACCTACAAGGCCTTCTTTGTTAATAACTCAAAAGTAAATGATACTTTATCTAACATGCATATGCAAAGAATATTATAAATTTTTGCAGACATGATCGATCATGAAATGATTGCATTGTTTAACTATCATTGAAATTGTAGGGGTTTGGAGCAGCACATAGAGACCAAGGGAGGGAGAGAGAGAGAGCGAGCGAGAGAGAGAGAGAGAGAGAGCGAGAGAGAGAGAGAGAGAGAGAAAGCGAGGGAGCAAATCACCATAAACGAGCTGTTCGGTAGCAGTTTCTGAGAAGGATTAACCTAAATCCTGACAAACAGCAAAAATGAGATCCTTAAGACCAACAGAATCTTAAAATCCGCTTCTCCCCCATTCTATCTGAAACCCCCGATGATATATAGCCGGTCATTGGACGGATTTCACAAGTCGCAGGTCACGTCGATGCTTCTTCAGCCAGGTTTCGCAACTTTCACGCTTCTCGATCGTCTAGGGTTTCTAGAATTTCGATTTGGTGGAGAAAGACGAGGGTTTCAGACACAAGCTTAAGAGACTGTGCGATTTGGTTTTGCATCTTAGGCCGTTTGGCTGGAGTTCGCTCAAATCCGCCTCAAATCCGGTATAAATCATGCACCCAAACATCCCGTATATCCTACAAATCCCGTTCCTTCTCCGTTGTCCCTAACGGGATTTAGGAGAATAAGCGTGCCAAAAGAGAAAGATCGTTGCCTCCGGCAGACACTTCTCATCCCACATCGCCGCAGAAGGCGAAGAAGCTTCGGGACTTTCAAAACACTAGTTAAACAACGCGAAACCACGCAGCAACAGCGAAGAACGGGCGACTATGAATAGCAAAATCCTAGACAGGCCAAACTACCAAAGGCTATCGAAAAGCATAGACAAATACCAAAAGAAGAGAAATTATATAAGCAACACCCATTTTTGCTCAGATCAGCTTTCTTATTTTTTATCACATTTTTTTTCTTAACCGTAACAATAAATCAAGTGAAAAATAATCGGTCGATTGAATATTAAAAATTTTAAATTTATCGTCTAATTACTAATTAATTTCGAAATCTTTATTTAAAACCAAATATTAGGTACCTTTTTATATTTGCTCTATGTGATATTAATGGCTCAAAAATTAACTATAATAATAATCTATAATAAATATAATTAAATTAATTAATAATGAAATTACTAATTTTCATTAATACAAATTTAATGTAAAAATAATAATATTAATTAATTATAAATATTAAAAAATAATTAAATATTATTAAAGTTTACTTCAGTTAATAGAATTAAATCTTTTGCTCACTTTTTTTTCTTAACAGTAATAATAAACCATTATCTAAAGGAAAACCCTTTTCCCTTTTCCCCATCATGCAAATATATTAATGCATGGGAAAGAAATAAATATTTAAATAATTTGGAGCCCTATCTTGAAATCTATTTTATGCAAATGCAGAATCCAAACAGGAAGAATTCATTGAGTATTTTTTGCAAATACTCAACAAATAAACAGTTATGAGTATTTATTAAATATTTGCTAAGTATACTTACAAATTTTATGAGTATTTGCTGAATATTTACTAAGTACTTGTTGATTTGCTGAGTATTTACAAATATTCAGCAAATCCAAAAGATTCTCCCATTACGAACTCCGCACATAATAATTTCTCCAGAAACACACATGTTGCACGTTTTGAGCAGGTAATTTATCTGGCATCTTCCACAAACTGGATAAAACATGACTTGGAAAAACAAGTCAAATTGAGGACAAGAAAAACTTGGCCATGGAAGATTCAATGAAAGATGGCAAACAGTAAATCCGTCCACAACAAATATAAATCTACCTGCATTATAAAGTAATGATTAGTACTTTAAAACTACCACATTATACAGCAACCAAAAGGACTTTATTCCAAAAAGGAAAGAAAAGGAACAATGAACAATTGGAAGACAACATAATCTATGAAATAAGTAAGTGAAATTACATTCCTAGCATAAAATTTTTATATATTTACATATCTAACATCAAAAAAATTGTGAAACGAAACAAATAGAAAGAGGATTTTCAAATGTAGCTCGCTCTTTCTCATAAAGACTTGGTTAGAAAATATTAGGAATAACCTTTCTTTATTAGATTTAAACGAGAATTTGGCTTTTAATAGGACACAATGGAGAAAAAGGATTCATGTAGCCGACCCCACGTAGTGGGATAAAGGCTTGATGTTGTTGTATGTTGTTGTACATTTATTATCATCAAACTAGCAAAAATATGAAAAGCAAAATTCCACCACGATGCAAAAGAAATAGATAGGCCATATATAGAGAGAGAGAGAGAGAGTTTGATTGATGTCCTCATAAGAAAAATGGCTCTAATCCAAATAAATCTTATATAATTTATTCATTTATTTGAATGACTGAGATTTAAAGTAGCAAATCATCCATTTTAGTTTCCCAATATAAACATTGTTGCTTTGGGTCCCAAACCCTGGACACAAAAATTAGGTTGTGTTATACAATTGATAGCCAGCATAAAGCTTATCGAACAATAATGCCATAATTTATTTAATACATTACGTTAATGTTAGGGTGTTCACTGGAAGCGATGTGCTATATAGCCTAAATACAACAAAAAGTGTACAAGGGATGTATTGTCGCCCGGATACATTGTTAAATAAAAAATGTTCCCATATCATATACGAACGTGGGCAAAAAAATTAGCCCATCATATTTAGGTTTTCTTATATGCAAATTAATTGAATTAACAAATATTATGATTCATAACAAAATAAATATTCTATGTATTCAAGAAACTAAATGAGTTGAAGAATAGACTAAACATATTGATTGTTTAGAATTTAAACTATAGTGTTTATGAATGATTCATACAAGAGCTAGTGTAAGTTTGATTACAGACTAAGTTTGAACAAGAGAAACACTGATCATTGATAATTGACATTTAATTCCAAAAGTTTCCAATTCAAAGATTGTCTCAAGATTCATGCATTTCATATAAATTTTCTAGAGATGTATAACTACTAATAAACACGCAGGAATCCCTTGGTAATTGCAGCTGCGGTTGCCTAATAAGTTCTAGACCTTCCAAGCATGCCACATCAAGACCACAAGAAACATAAAGATATTCCATAGCAACCAATTGTATAGTCAAGCGACTAAATTGTGATCAATATATATATCATAATTACAACGTGAAAGAACATTTTTGATCAATCTTACATAGTTGAGGGTTAAAAATTAGGACAACGAAATACTCTGAGTAAATTGGACACATACAAATAGTTTGAAGACTATTTTGATATTTTTCTGTGTGTGTATGTATGTATGTGTGTGTGTTTATATATATATATAGAGAGAGAGAGAGAAAGAGAGAGTCTTAAAATAGCACAAAGAAAGAACTTTCTCCCGTCCTCTACGTACAATACCAAAATAAGGAAAAATGATGCATCATTTACATGCCTTTCAAACCATCGTTGACGTGTCATCCATTGCTAGACTAATAATGAGAAAAGTGGCCATGGATGATTCGTCAATAAGCTAGGAAGAAGTCACTCTCATTTGTTGGATATTATATCCATTGCATCTCCAGTAGATATTAACCTGAGTTTAGAAAAATGAAACAAAGTAATACTACACTTTATTAAGAATATAAGCGTTGATCATAGATATCTGGGAATAGAAACAATTTCAGAAGTGGATCAAGGAAAAAAATTACCTTTAGTTGAAGTAATCACTGGATAAGAAGAAGAAGACATGAATCCTGATCCTTACCAAGCACCACAACAGTCATTGTTACAACGTATATTTAAGTGAAGTATTCAGTAGAAAATTTCTATGCTTGTATCACATTTATGTTTCATCATCATCATATAAAACATTGAAATATTCCCTGAAAAACCATCTGACCAAGAGTTTGGTGGGTTCACATGTAAAAGCCTGGAGCTTCTCCAGCATCCACAGCTGCCAGGGATTTCAACTGAAGTAATCAGTAGAATGTTATAACATATGCTACGTCGTCACATATAAAACATATAGATACAATATCACACTGCTAAATGTAGTGTAAGGCATAAAACTTAATAACTGGCAATTGATTAGACCCTCTGATCCTAACTCAATTTCATGTTGGAGATGAGGCTACTAATAGCATTTCCTTATGTAACCCAACTATTTTCACAAATTTCATCTCCAAATTTCAAATGCTGCAAGGAAAGAATGTATTACAGCTAGGAGTATAAATGAGTCGATCCAAGTTTGAGTCAAACTTGCCTTGAGCTTGAGCTTGATTAATTAAAAGAGTTCGAGCTGGAGCTTTATTCTACGAGTTCGAGCCGGCTCACAAGCTGACTCATTTAATATGAAAGAGAAAATTATTATGATTCAAACAATTATTATAATAAATAGTAAAAAGACTAAGAAATTAAAAGAAATATAATAAAGAAAGAATTAATGTAAGAAAGTGGGATATAAATTTTAAATATTTTTAACTTTGTGCTTAAAATCTTGAATGCTATTATATTTTAAGTGCATTTTATATTAATATATTTTTTGCATGAGTTGCCTCACAAGCTAACAAGTCAAGTCAGAGTTGTCCCAAACTAGGCTCATTAGCTCATCAAGCCCGACTCACAAGTCCCTTATCAAGCCAAATCTGAGCCATCTCATGAGTTGACTTAGATACTCTCTGAGCAGAAAAAACTATCAAAGCATCTTACACAAACAGGCAATCACATGGAGCTCGTCTGTACCTCCAAATCAGGTTGCTGCACAGACTGACAAAATTAAGCATGCAGGTAACAAACATCTAAACAAGATAAAATTGGATTGCCACACACCGTGGCAAAAAATTCAAGTAATTCCCTATAGTAGACAGAAGCAGCAAAGGCAGCATTGAGAAACACTGGAAACCGTACAAAGGTGTGGAATATAACATCATGATATGGTGGCAAAAAGAATCAAGCAATTTCCTATAGTAGACAGAAGCAGTAGCGGCAGAATTGACGAACACTGGAAACTGTACAAGAATGTGAAATACAACATAATGATATGCTGACGGAAAACCTCTAAATCATCATCATGACCCTTAACGACTTGGAAGGCATTAATAACAAAGGAAAACAACATCACACTGCAGCATACTGTGTATGACAATAGTCTTCAAGGCTCTCTGATAAGGACCTCTTAATTTGTTGTTGCTATAAATGAGAAAAAAAATTCATAGCATCAATTTTCTAACGATTTTCAGGCTGTCCGTGATGAAAATACCAGTCAGATTGAGGCTAAGGAAAGCTCAATCATGGACAATCCACTGATAGTTGGCAAACAATAAGTACATAAACAAGACAAGCAGCATGGATACTTGATAACAACCACAACAGAACTTGGTGCAACAACCCCATCCACAATAAATATGCATCAATTGAATCCTAATCACACCAAATCAGCAGCGGAACCAGCCTTAATTTTCATAGGGGGCAAACTTCTAAGTAAAAGTGTAGAATTTGGCTCGACCACTATTTGTTAATAGCTTGATCATTGTACACTCCACAAATATGTTACGGGGTCAAGGGGCAACGCCGGTTGCCCCTGCGGGGGATTTTGTAAGTATATTTTTTTATTGTCTTTACTATTTCTTATTGTATTTGGTTCATCGTTACCTAAAAATAACACCTCAACACAATGTGTTTAATTAAGCTGGGGTCAATTGCCCCCTCGCTTAAGGTGGATCCGCCCCTCCACCAAACTATACTAAATGTATTGAATGAAAAGAAAGTAGAGACATAAGGAGAGAAAAAAAGAGATATAAAGTGAGAAGCTCTTACATATCTATAATACAAACTTGCACATAAAAAATTGCAAAATTTGTGCTCACCCTTTAACACCCTATTTATTTTTAGATTTGGGATGGAGCTTGACCCTTACAAATTTGGCCACATATAGAACTAAACATAAAATCAACAACAGTCTAATAAAGGAATGGTTAGAACTTCAAAGGCAATAATACCTAGCATACCGCACAACGCATAGCATCCAAAATCCAAGAAGACTATTCCAAAAAGGAACAACCAACATGATGATAGAGGAGAAAAAGAAGAGACTACAAACAAGGGGACTCAAATAATAATTAAAACCATGAAATAAGAAAAATAGATAAGCTTTTTACATATCTTTATGCATAATTCATAATAGTCGATAAGCCACGTCCAAACTATGGCCGACCTCTTGGCCACCATCATCTCCAACGACAATTCTTTATTCATAGACAAGAAAAACAGTACCGTGCTATCATATGCCATGTGTATGGAAATAGTCTTGCTAACTGTTACATAATTAAGCCTTCCTAATTTTATTTTTCGCTTTTTTTCCGTAGAGAAAGATTGCAAGCTTCACATTCATGCATTAAATTTAGAATGAAGTCCGAGAACCTTGGACAGTTGGACTTATAAAGTGATAGATAATATTATCAATAAAAATAATTATACTAATGATCATTTATGTCAACATCATTTCTATTGGATTGAATTAAATAGAATTATAACAATAGAATATTACAACTTGTTGACAAATGTCACAACATGCATAATATTATAATTATTTAATTTTAATAGACATGTTATTTGAGCTTCCAATTAACTTTGGGAACTTTTGGCATAATAGTTTTTGAGGAAAATAATCTGATAGAATCAAAATTAGAAGGAATTTAGAAAAACAATTTGACTCGAGTAAGTGTACCATTGATCAAACGAGAATTCATCAATCAACACGACAAAAACATACTTCTTTAAAAAATAGATATTTAATAAACTTTGAATGAAATAGAAGTTTTCTCTAATCTCTTGAAGGGCTGAAGTTTTTTTAACCATTTGAGCCGACTGTTTAAATTTTAGGTATTTAGTTTTAATTAATTGCTTTTGTTTATCATGAGCATTGCGGTTAGAAATTTATGGTATAAGTATTTATTTCACGGTTTGATTTTCTTACAAATTTATTGTCGTTATATCATTGAACTGCCAGCTAATATCTCCAAATTTAAAAAGCATATGACTTGCATCAAGCAATCTTAGCTGTAAAGCTTTATAGTGTGAGGATTGAAGCTAGCAATCTTGCTGGAATTTGTAACAACGGAATGGTACATGAAGATAATTTATGTAAGGAACTTTAATTTAGACAAAATATATGAATATAAATAAATAAAAAAACTTGCTTAATGATATTAAAGAGAGTGGATATGAAAAAAAAAATTTAAAAAATGTCAGACAAAATGGTTAATTAAAAAATAAAAATAATTGTCATTAAAATCAGAAAGAAAGGAATAAAATGGTTGATTAGCTATAGTTGGTTGTTGCTGCAATACTGTAGGAGAGTTCCCCTCCTTACTCAAAGACAAGAGAATGAAAATAATGAAGATAAAGTTAAGGTGTTAAGGAAGGTAGTAATCTCTGCTCTCCTCAACCCTTCACTTGCTTCACTGAAATTAAAAAGGATCTTGGAATTGAGAGTGGTTGCTTTTGTATGTTGTGATGATGGGAGTAGACACTGAGTTGGGAATCTACTATGCTCTTAGCTTCTAAACAAGCTTAGAGAATACCCATAATAACTATAATTCATATAGTAGCTCTACCAAAAAAATAGCCTTTCGCAGCACTTTTTTTACCCTACCGCAGCGATTAAAACCCCTACAAATATTTTAGCAGCGGTTTATAAACCGCTAGATATCCGCCGTATTTGTTATTGCTGCAAGGAGTTTCCGCAGCACTAAATGAACCGCTGCCATAGCAGGTGATTTCGCAGCACTTTTTATAGTAGCGGTTTTAACCGCTACAAATTAACTTTCACAAATTCAAATATAAACTAAAAAGGTTCTTATTTAATCAAGGCTATCTAGATGGAATTGGCAAACAGCTAAAGACGTTTGGTAACTGAAGCACCTGCCTCCATTAATAATAAAATATATGAATAAAAATAAAATCAAATGTCCTGCAGTAATTCAGACGAAATGAAAATCTTTATAAGCTTGTTGGAATTTGTAAGCACGGAAGAAAGAAAGATTGAAACATGAGTTGATGAAAGATGGGCTCACAGTCAATAAGCCTATACAAAAATAATGCAATTTCCATTGATGCTTGCAAATTTAAGTTTCTACTGACAGTGCTAGATTATTTTGTTAGTGTTTATGTGGTACGAAATAAAATCGTCGCTATCATCATAAACATTGCCAGGCTACCTCTGCAAGTTACCATTGTTATGAAATAATAGAGAAGCTGTATATACTTCTCGCAGAAATTAAAAGACTGGTATGTAAACTTTTTGAGAATAAAATAGCAATAAAGCATTTTCAAGCGAAGGCTTGGTCTTGGTGGGCAGAGCAAGCTTATCACCTCAGCCAATGCCATGGGCTAGACAAAAATACATCTATGCTAATTCAACCTCTAAAAATAGCTTCAACCAAATCATGAGGTAACATGAGTAAAAACAAAGCTCTTTGTATCGCCCAAGCAACCTTAAACTCATGTGTGCCCATCAACAAACTGAATACTTGCAATTTTAAGTGTAATGGCTGAGAAAATATGTTCATTTCTGGTTGTTCTAAGCTCTTGAAACTGTGACGTTGTGGGTAAAGTAACTTAGCTACTGCATTGCACTTTGTGTAGCATAAAGGACACAAAGTGTTTGCTTGGTTGGAAGAAGTTGAAAATGTGGAAATAAAAATGAAATAGAAACTGAAATATGGTAGGAACTGAATCCAAAATAATCTTTTACCCTCTTGTTTGGTTGAGGAGAATTTGAGTGGAAAAGTATTTCTTCTTTTTTTGCTTGGCTTGAAGGAAGAACCAAGAAATCGAATAATGAACACAATATTTGCAAACTTCAATTTTAAGTAGATAACATAAAGAGAAGTATGTGCATGTTCTACTTTCTTGGTGAAACTAATTTTTTATCAACTACAACTACACCAAAAGATGCAAATATTAGGTAAATAATATTTTTTTAATGTTTAATTCATCCAAACAAAGCAAAGAAAAACGGAAGACATTCCTATAAGGATAAAACAAGTATAAGGGAACAAGAATAAGGATCAAATGATAGTGAAGTCCAGCAAATAAGACAAGCAGAGAATCTTTGCCTTCTGCATTGCACATTGTCTAGCACCAAGAACCCAAGACACTACATTCCAAAAAGAAAAGAAGAATAAGGAACCAATAAAAAGACGATGGATCAGATGATATTGAAAGTCGTCAGAAAAAAGGAAAAGCATAGCAGCATACCTGAATCCCCTTGGTAATGGCAGCTGTGGTTGCCTGAAAAGCTTCAGGCCATCCAGCATGCTACATCATTACCATTGGAAACATAAATATATTCCATAGCAAACCTAATGATAGGATTTCTTTCTGAAAATTATAAATATTTCTTCACACAACTCTCCTTGGCCTATTGGTTGAGAGCTTAGGCTTCCAACTAAGAGGTCCAAGATTCGAGTCTATGTGTATGTGTTGTGTGTGTGTGTTTGCCTTAATTGGCCTAAATGTCCCAAAAAAAAAATAAATATTTCTTCATGTAATGTAGTTTCTTTTTTTTTTCTTTTTCATAACGAGATATTATGATATTACACCTCTTCAAGAGACATCACTCCTCCGAGCCACAAAACTCCATCATTTGGACATAAATTCTATAGGAGATTTCATAATAGAGGGGATGATGGATGACCTCACCATGTTCATACAAACCCAATTTCAAATATCATGGTAAAGAGAAATTCTTTCCTTCAAATATCATGGTAAAGAGAAATTATTTGGCATGCCCACAATAATAAGTCGAGACAAAACACATTGGGAAAATTTTTATCTGAATGCAAATCTCTGCCATATTGCTGTCAACCAGCACTTTAACAATTGCAACCCTATAGTTTCCGGTTACCAATGAGAGCTTCCCCTATCGACATCTGACATCCTCCTCTCAAGCACCACCAAACCCTAAAAAATTATAAACTAACGACTACTTGAATCCGGGAATTGGACGGATTTCACACGTCGCTGGTCCCGTGGATGATTCTTCCACGAGCTTTCGCAACCCTTCTCCGCCGTCTAAGGTTTCTAGAATTTGGATTTGGGGCAGGAAAAACGAGGATTTTGGACGCTAGGGTAAGCGGCTGTATGGTTGCAGGATTTGAGCAGTATTTAGCTTAAATCCAAACAGCAAAAAATGACAACTTTATAAATCCGACAGAATCTTAGATCTCGTTCCTCCCGTCGAGATTTTCAAAACGAAACTTCAGCAAAACACGCGAAGCCCGACGCAGCAACTAAAAAAAACCGTTTTAAAAAACATTAATTCAGAAAATGTAATTTATCAACAGAGAATCACGTATAAAAAGCTTTCTCAAAATTGCAGAAAAATAAAAAAAAAGGAGTTATTCGGAACGTGATTTGACGAACCAAACAACACACAAAAAAAATCCTCAGTTTCCAAAAATGAAGAAGGCAAAAAAACGTTCAAACAAACAAAGTCTAAGAAACGGCGACAACGAAAAGCAAACCCTAGACAGACCTAAGACTTGAAAAAACCGAAGAGGAGAAAATATAAAAAATAATCCAGTAACACCATCTATTTATAAACTTTTATGAGTGGTATGACCCGTAATATATAGAGAAAAGATTTTCGGATAGATTTGGAGTTTTTAACGGTCAATATTGATTACTAATTATAAAATATTTTTTAAGTGTTTAAGTTCCTGAATGATATTCTGATATTGGGATATTGGGCTCGTTTGATTCGTCTCCTCGAGCGGCTCGATTCTACTATAATTATGACATATTGGATATCATTTGGTCATTCAATTGAAGATTTAAACCTTCCAAATAGGAGTCGGGCCCCCGATTTGGACCCATATGGGCTCATATTTAACTTATTTTGGTGTTGTTGTGTTCGTTTCTTTAGACATTCAGTTTGATTATCAATTTGTTGAAATTAAAATTCATAGTCCTAAATTTAATTTTTAAAAATTTCCAACTTGAATACGTCTTAAGATCCGTGCACGATCAAGATAATTTTTGGTGACTTATCAAGATAAATTCTATCAATTGATTTTATTTAATAGTTGTTTTTTATTCATGTAAATACTTGACTAATTAATAATTATTTGAGATATTGATATATGATAAATATGGCTCAATTAATCTAATTAAAGTTAATAAAAGTTTTTTTATTTGAAATTTATATTTTATTAGTTCAATAATATATTAATTAATAAGCTATTGAGATATTAATATATAATAAATATAGTTAACTAATGAGATAGTATATATTAATTTCATTATCAATATTTCTCATTAAAATTTTATTTGGGCGAAAGATTTTAAGTTCTAAAACATGCATCCGAAAGATGGCATATTGTGATTTAATAAATCTGGATTTGCAAGATTTACTAAAACCTATCTCAGTTCAATCATACTTGTAAATTGTAATAGCCCGAAGCGGGGGAGGTTGAATTGAACCAGTTCAAACTTTAACCAACTCAATTCACTTCGTCTTGACCCCTATTAGGTAAACTCGTGCCTTTAAATTTGAATCAAGGCTTCGGGCATGGATCACGAGAGAAGAAGGATGCCATGTCACGCCTCAGAATTTAAATTAGAAGAATTCAGGCTCATCAACGACTAACACACATTTATAATATAATGGATGAAATTATTGATTATAGTAACAAGCATTGATCTACCATAAGGCCTGAGAAATCATTTCTATCAAGAAATTCTCATTTAATGCAGGCTTGAACACTTTTTTTTTTTTCCTAAGAAAGGAGGATAAATTAAGAGTGTAAGTGAGACGAGCCAGTTCGAGTTTGACTTGTTTATGGGCTCACGAGTCGAGCTTATCAAGCTCACGAATCGAGCTCAAGCTCAAACTCAGCTCGTTTAATGAATGTGCTCGAGCTCAAGCTTGAGCCGGCTCAGCTCGTGAGCTGACAAGTTGACTCGAATAATTATTAATAATTTTTTTTATAATTTTATTTTATTAATTAATTTTAAATATTAAAAAATTAATAAAAACCACATAAATTTTATTTAAATGTTAAATATTACATCTTTTTTCTAAATCTCGCTTAAGTTTTAGAAATCCCGCTTAAATTTTAAAATCCGGTCTAAATTTTAAAAATCATGCCTAAGTTTAAAACATCACAGTGGGACGAGCTCGAGTTCGAACTCGCTTTCAAATTAAAGAGCTGAATTTTTTATATGACCTAAACTCGGGTAGACTCAACTTATTTGCACCGATAAATTACGTAATCCAGCATAAATTTAATTCCAAAGAAAAAAAAAATCTTGCAACTTTTACATAACAATACCAAATAGCCGGCTGGGCAAAGCCTAGGTCCCTGGTTCGAATCTCTTGGCAAGCAGTGAAAGCCTTAAGTGTTGGCCTGTATAAATTAGTGTGGGTTGCATGCTAGGTCGATCTGAATTTACACTGACCTAAAGACAGTGCTTCCTTGTCAAAAAAAAACATAACAATACCAACAAGATACTGGACAAAACAAATAATCAATAAAATAATTATTTTGTTAACAGCTTTCTTTCCGAGCATTCCCCAATCTCGTTCTTGCGCGAGTCTCGATTTATGTTCAAAACAATCACCAAATGAACTTATTTTTAACCACAAATATCAAGAGTTATCCGGTTTGACAGACTGCAGAAGCTGAACAACCTCCCCCATACTAGGCCTCTTCGCCGGCGAATCTACAGTGCATAACAGACCCAACTTGAGAACCTGAACCTGCTCCATCTCCACAAATCCTCCCAATTTCCTATCAAAGCAATCAAACGAAGTTCCTTCTTGCAAAGCTTTCTGCACGAAGTCTCGCAAAACCAGTACCTTCGCCGCCGCCGCCGCCGCCAAGCTCTGCACCGGCTTCCTTCCCGTCACAATCTCTAGAAGTATCACTCCAAAGCTATAGACATCACACTTATCGCTGTACCTCAAGCTCTGTGAAGCCAACTCCGGTGCCACATAACCCACAGCAGTATGAAACTTTGTCAGTTCTTGGCTTCCCAGAATCGGCAATAACTTCCCCAAACCATAGTCAGAGAGTTTAGCCTCATAGTTCTCATCCAGCAAAATATTGGTAGATTTGATATTAAGATGCAGAATCTGAGGTTTACATTCATGGTGAAGATAAGCAAGAGCCTTTGCAGTTCCAACAGCTATTTTATATCTTCTTTCCCATAATAGTTCACCTCTACCACCACTAATGCTCCCCAAGAAGTTAAATTCATGTAGGTGATTGTACAAGCTACCATTATGAACAAACTCAGACAACATAAGCTGCATCGTGGAAGACCAATAGTAACCTTGAAAAGTCGCCAAATTTGAATGCTTGAGGCTTCCAAGCTTGCCGATTTCCTGCTCAAACTCTTCCTGATCCCTGATCCTACCCAGTGTCTCGAGCTTCTTCACTGCGATGATGATTCCATTTTCAAAGCTCGTTTTGTACACTGTTCCAATCGAGCCACCACCAATGAGACAGTCCTTATCAAGCAGAGCCTTCGTCCCAGCCTCCCAGTCTTCATACTTTGAGGGCAAACTCTTGCTGAAAAGAACCAGCTTTCCTATTATGACATTTGAACCATTGGATCCTGGAGGTGTGCTTTCAGAGACGAGTATATCTGGTTCATCCTTCTTCTTCCTATATGCCCCCACGTTCATGGCAATGACAACGCAGACTCCAGTAACGATCAAAGCAGCAGCGACAATGGCAATAATGGCGGTAATACTCAGCACCTTTGCTTGATGAGATTCACCGCATAGGTTGTTAAGCGGAGCGCCGCAGAGCAACGGGTTGTTTGAAAATGCAGAGGCACCAAATTGCTGGATGACTGGTTCAGAAGGAATTATGCCGCCAAGATTATTGTAGGAGAGATTGAAATGGGTAAGTAGAGATAAGTTTCCCAGTGAAGAAGGGATGGCTCCGGTTAGTGAATTCTGGGAGAGGTCCAGAAATTCAAGCTGGATCAAATGGGCCAAGGTTGATGGAATGCTACCATTGAGCTGGTTTCCGTGGAGATCAAGATGTCTTAAGTAAGTCATGTTGTAAAGCGCAACCGGGATTCCACCCCGCAGTTTGTTTCCTGACGCATCCCTGCACCGTTAATAGAGGGCTCATTAATCAAACAAGTTCTCAAAGATTGATTTTTTATTTTTTTTTTATTTTAATTCACGATCGATGCTTACAGCTCGAGGAGAAACTGGCATTGGCTCAGGGACATTGGGATTTCGCCGGAGAGCTGGAGATTATGCAGGTCTAGGAACTGGAGCAGCGTAATTTCTCCTATTTCCGGCGGGATTGTTCCTGTAATGGTGTTGCTCTCCAGCCTCAGAATTGATAGAGACTTGAGCAATCCAATCTCAGGCGGAATGGTTCCAGTGAGCCGGTTAAATCCCAAATCCAGTGACCTCAGCCCTCTACAGTTTGCGATGCTCGGAGAAATGGCTCCGCTTAGATCGTTCCAGGATACGTCAATGAACTTCACTTGATCCCCGCAGCTGCCAATCTCCGGCATCTCTCCTTGGAATCGATTGAAGGAAGCATTTAAGTAGCTCAGGTTTGCAAGAGAGAGAAGACTGAATGGTGTTTCACCGGAGAAGTAGTTGCTTCCGAGATCGAGGAACTCCAAACTCCGGCAGGCGGAGACCTTATTCGCGACCGGCCCTGAGAGAGAATTGTTTCCCAGGGAAATAAATGAGATCGCCAACGGCGAACATATCTGCAGTGGAAAGCCTCCGGAGAGATTGTTGAAGGAAAAGTTGAATCCGACGAGGTCGAGACAGTTGCTGATAGTGGTCGGAATGGGGCCTGAGAGTTGGTTATGCGAAAAAGAGACGAACCTCATCTTGAAGCAATTCTTAAACAGAGCATCGGGAATCTCCCCGGAGAAGGAGTTCTCACCAAGATCCAGGAGGCGAAGGGATGGGAGATCCCCGAAGAACGCGGGAACCTCACCGGAAAGCTCATTGCGGCTGAGGTTGACCTTCCTCAGGGTTACCATAACCGAGAACTCCGGCGGCACGCCCCCAGAGAAACGGTTTCCGAAGAGGGAGAGAATCTGGAGGGAAGGGAGGCCGGCGAGCGAAGAAGAGATCGTCCCTTCGAGATCAGCCCCATGTATGAGAATCTTTTCAACTTTGCCGCTGTCCCCGCAGGTAACTCCATTGAAGTCCTGGCATGGGTTGCCGGCGACATTCCAGGAGGCAAGAGCGCCTCGGGGATCCGCCGTCACATTCCCCTTAAACTGCAGCAATATCTCCTTCTCAGCCACCGCCGCCACTACATGTAAGAGCAGTAATTTAAAAAAAAGAATACTTTTTCCTTTCATGGCGACCGGTGGCTCTCGCCTGAATTAGAGAGGCCTCTTAGCCTAGTTCTGGTGGCATTAGATGCTTTTACCAGCCAAGACATTCTCTTTCTCTATCAAACAGTAGGGCAAATGACAGAGAATCCTGGGCAGATGAAGCGACTACTTGTGGCAGAGTAGGTCTGTGGATTAAGTAAGGCTTTTAAGAGCGCCCTACTCAATCTGCGTCAATGTTCGCCGGAATTTGGGAATTAATGGGCAGGAGGTAAAGTAGGAGAGAAATATTCCGCTCATCAATGCTTGCAACTACCTCCTCTTACAGTAATTGATATTGGGAAGTTTATTTCTGTCATTCAGGAAATCTCTTTATTTTAGTCTTTAATGGCCTGTCCCAAGGGTTCAGCTTGACAAAAATGAGGAAGAAGAGAAGGCGAGACGGAAGAGGAAGGAGGAAGACGTGAAGGAGTCAGATGGAATGTTTTTAGTAGAACACGGTGGCCGACATCCGCCGGAGAGGAGACGGGACCATAGTGGCCTGAGAAATTTCCGATAGTGTCGCTGGTGGAATGAGACGCTACTGAACAAATAGGAAGGAGAAGGTAAGACAAGAGACTGTCAACTGTCACGCCACTTCATAACACTGTCCACCCGGCTCAAAAAAA